GAATTAAAAGATGCCAACAAGGGAAATCTTGTCCTTCCAAACTTACATGTTGGAGCCAGTCATCCAGATGCTTTTAACAGCTAAAAAAGTGAATTTTCCAAGATCTGTCCCATTTAAATAAAGATAGAGATGTTTTTTCTGACTCTGCAGGCACACTAGCTGTGTTTCCATTGCAAATGCGCGCAAAACTTTGTCAATATTCTGTTAATGTCGAAAAACACAGTTTCGCAACTGTGGTGTTTCCATTAAGTAAGAAATGCCATTAAAGTCACGCATGAATACTTTTGTTCTCGCGATAAGTCATTACAAACATGGCGGCAATGGATGTAAACACATAGCATGTTGCTACTGCGACACTAGCGCTCATCATCAGAGGAAACGTCGGTGTCTTTTATCGAGGCTTTCCAGCGACAAGCCCCTACTTGGGAGTGGCTACGTATGCTGTGTTTTTGGGAAATTGTAGTCGGTGAGTTTACTATTTTATACTACTTCTGTGATTTTACTACTATTTCTTCTTCCTGTTATCTTCTTCATCATCGTCTTTTTCGCCAGTAGAAACAGCCAGTTGTTGATTGCGTGACTCCTGTGATGTGAAAAAAGTGTTTCCATTTCAGTTTTGCGAAAAAACACCAATTTCGATACGGCTGAAAAACCACCTCATCCTAGAGCAAAAACATTTTGTCGAAAAACGTAATTTTTTTCGAAATTGACGTGTTTCCATTGAGCAAATTTTTTTCGAAATTCTAATTTGCGCATTTTCATGGTCAATGGAAACGCAGCTAGTGTTTGATTGAACTGGGTTTTAGTACCCTACTCAAGGACCAGCAGACTATCGGCCTTTTTGCATTGTAGGGCTCGGCCTGGCCCAGCCCGTTATCCTGGTCTATTCTACCCCAGCCCTGGTTGTGTTTACTTTGAACAGAGTGCCACCAGGGGCGGAGATTATCAGAGTAAAAAAGTGCAAATCTTATTTTGTTTTATTTGTGACACAATTATAGACTACAGTACATCAAACTTGAAGGAAAAGTACCAAAGGCTGTATTGGAACGTCCAGCAGTATGACACTGAAAATGAGAGAAGACGACAGAGGACGGTAGGCTTAATTATAGCTAATGTTAGCTTGTTGATGCTTGGTGGTTTGCTACTGTTGTTTAACTGAACATGTATGAAAAAAACGTAACAAATGCCAGCCTGGGCCTTCAAGTGCAAATAGCACATACTGTATTTAAATGGGAAAGTTGGAGATCTTTGAAGCTACCTACTGAAATTTAAAGAAATGCACTCAGACTTTACATCCCTTTGCACTTAAAAACATCTTTTTTCTTTTAGTTTTTGCAAACATCTTTTAGTGTCCCTCAGTGGAAGACAAGTCACAACAGATAAAACATACAGAAAGGTCAGCGTGAGGATTTCTTACTCGTTAAGGTCAGAATTACTCCACCATGATTATGACTGACTATGGTTAGTGTCATCAATGATTTTGTTTTATAAAACTAAAGCAAAAATATTCTACAAGTATAGATTTGGATACAGAAATTAAATCAATGAGCATTCATGTCTTATGTTTAAATGTAAGCATTATCAGTAAGCATTATTTTAACTCAGCTGCTGAGTGAGTTTCTGTAACTTGCTGCTCATAAAGCCTCAGCACAGAAACAAAGCTGGTCATGGATTTTAATGGTTTAATATGAAGCCTTTCTTATTGGTTCAGTGAAGCCGATGCATTTAATGGCTGCTGAAAGACATTATGTCATAAAGTTAGAGGAAAGTAAGTAGTAATTTGTAGAATGAGTTGGTATTTTCTGGAATCCTGATAGGTTTTGTTAAATGATTATTAAAAGACATTCATATCCTGGATGTGACCTTGGTCTCTTTCACAGCCAGTGAAGGAATGTTGATTGGTTTGGCAACAAGGAGACAAAGAAACTGCCCCAGTCACCGCTAATATTCTCAGAATAAAGCACATAAAGCAATGCATAAACAATCAGATTCCTGTAAACTGAATCTGACCTAGTTGTGAGGTCTTTTGGAACCGTTCCCAGTCGACCTCTACAGCTCACAGCCTCTGAAGCGGCACAAGCATTTCCAGGGAAATCAAAAATTATACTATTCAAACATAACAGGAACTTTAATCTCCATGTAAAACACCACTCGTCCTGCTTCTGTCTTTCTATACAAGAGACCCTTTAATGATCTGCAAGTACGTCAATGTGGCAACAGACTCTTTGCATAAACTGTGCAAATGAACCAACACACAGAGCACTTATGGAGAAATGCACAGGGCAGCTGTTAGCAGGGCAGCTAACAGGTCAGTCAAGATTCATGCTTTCTGTCTGCAGTCAGACCAGCTCTGTGAAATGTTGGATATAAAATCAGTCACTGATTTTATAACTTAACATTAACTTTGGTTTGGCAGACAGACAGGGACAGAGGATGTTCTGACTCAGTTTAGAAAACCATCAAAACTTAAACACTTTTAAAACCAACGAGTCAAACCTGATACGTGATCAGTCAGTTTTGGAAACCTTTATCATACATCTTTTTATTAAAGCTTTTAGCAGTGTTGTATAAAGTACCACAAACTGATACTTGAGTAAAAGTGCAATTATCTTACCAAAAAACGACTTTGGTAAAAGTTAAAGTCTCCTTTAGGAATATTACTTGAGTAAAAGTCTTAAAGTATCTGATATTTCTTTCTACTTAAGTATTAAAAGTAAAAGTATTGGTTTAAAATGAGCAGTTAGATTTTCTGTAATGACATTTATTAGGTGGTGACCTCCCCAAAAAATACAGAAATGACTGTTGTATTAAAATAATAAAATTATGTTGCATTTAAGATGCACTAGTCTGTTTCAGTTTATATACATACAGTATGT